TGCTACTTTGGTGGCTGTCAACAACCGGGCTCTGATCCTGCGGGTACAAGGGAGGTACGAAGAATCAGAGGTGATGAATCGCCGCGCATTAGAGGGGTACGAAAAACGTTTTGGATCGGACCACCCTAATACTTTGATAACTCTCAACAACCTGGCTCTGGTGCTGCGGAGGCAAGGGAAGTACGAAGAATCAGAGGCCATGAACCGCTATGCAATTGAGGGGTACGAGAAACGATTTGGATCAGACCACCCTGATACTTTGATGGCTGTCAACAACCTGGCTATGGTACTGTGGGACCAAGGGAGGTATGAAGAAGCCGAGGTGATGAATCGCCGCGCACTGGAGGGGTACAAGAAACGTTTTGGATCGGATCACCCCAATACTTTATCGGCTGTCAACAACCTGTCGGTGCTGTTGCTGGGGCGCGGAAAGCCCATAGAATCGGAGATACTGTCCCGACGTGTGCTAGAAGGTAGAGAGAAAGCCTTGGGCACAGACCACCCTAGTGTACTGTCGACTATTGACAACCTAGCTCAAGCACTTGAAGTCCAGGGAAAGTATTCCGAGACGCAAAAACCACTTCAACGCGCCCTGGCAACTCACGAAAGTACACTCGGTTCAGAGCACCTAAATGTCTGTAAAACCCTCGAGCGCCTGGCTTGCCTATATGAAAAACAGGAGCGGTATTCTCAAGCTGAAGAGGCTTACGAGCAGGCCTACAAGGGATTCTCTAGGGCCCTCGGGGACCTGCACCTCACTACCTTGGAATGTGCCAGGAGGTTGAAGTTATTGCGAGCGCAACGATACCTTTCCTCGAGGGCCAGTCCCGTAGAAGCGGAGGAGGGTGCTAATGTCGGAAATCACCAGCGATTACCCGGTGACTGCACATCCTCGTGGCTGAAGAGACTTTGGGGGTATCGTAGGGAATGGTGGAATCAACGGCATTCGGGGTAGGGATTCAGACATGGGTGGCAGTGGTTAGACATGCCTTCATAGGGACGGAATGGGGTGGGGATTCTGGGAGGCTCCGTAACGGGTGCGATTGTTTAGCATATTTTGAAAATGTTTGGGAAAGTTTGGTAACTGTTTGGGAGTTTATTACTCATTAAAAGGAGGTTTTGTCTATAAGCGGAGTGGTTTCCTGGGCTTCTTGTTGTGCGGGTGTACGGGGAAATAGGAATATGATCAAGGTAAGGAGCGGATTTGGCAATTGTAAACTTGGAACGAAATGTATCTATAGGTGCGAAGGTGCTTGGATCCGGCAACTTAACCTCTCCAAGGTCCGGGGGTTAGATCGCTATTTTATGACTCGAGCACCCTTCCCTCATTCGCCCCCGTGTTCTACTCATCAATTCACTGCATTTTCACACCCGCCTTAGTCTCTCTGTCCCCTTCCTGTTTCGCTGCGTGAAGTCCGCGATGAGTTCACAATTCTTACTTTCACCACATCACCCCCTCTGGCAACGCGGCAAATAATTCCGATGCACCTCCAGACTCCTTTTCCAATCCTCAGTCATTTTTGACGAACCTCACCGACTCGCATCTTGTTCTTACTAGCTTCGCAGTTCCCTCTAGATGTCCCCGGTGATGGGGCGTTCAAAACTCGGGGCAGACATCATAGTCATTAGACTAGGTCAATGGAGCTCTGCGTGAACGCACGTGATTCATAACTGTTTTGAAGGAGGTGTTGCTTTTCCTTTTCTTACATAGCTCGCCACCGAGGAGGTCTCTCTTCTCTCAATTGGGGGCGCACCCTTCCTTTTTATTTTGAATCTCGCTTCTGCAAATTGGATACTAAAATGGCTTATTGCAGGCGCCTGCCAGCTCGGGTATTGAACCCTCTAGTCTTTTAGAGAAATATTTCCTGCCTATTTCTTATATCTGTTAGTTTAGTCTAGTTTCTGTGCGCTTCTGTTATGTCAGCATCCTCAAGAGATGGTTTGCCGGAATCTTTGCGGTTTTCCAGGAATTCCATCGAGGGTGCCGTAGCAATTACGGAGGATATCGGTATTATCATAGCATGGGCAAGGATGGCCTGCTTGACTACTTCTGCGAACCCACTCTTAGGTATTTCTAGCTATTCTTTTAGAACTGAAAGCCCTTCTGCCCTTAACTCCCGAGAGCAATGATCCTCCGTACATGCCACCTATTCTACCGTCGTTTCCCCGTGCCTTCCGGACTCGTCAAATCTCGGTCCGCCAACTAGTCTCGCTGCCAGGAATACCAAGATATCCCCCATTGCGGCCCACCGTTCGCCCGCTAAAGCAGGCATCGCCATCAGAGGCGTAGATGCACCGAGACAGGGGAGTATGGCTTAATGGCTGTGCGAGTATGAGGCAATAATTTAGCTATCGGTAGTATGTTGAAATAGCACTCCCTGTATCCTTTTGGTACAGTACTTGTACGTTGGGTATCGGTCCGTGCCAAGATTCCTAGCATAGTAGTTCTACAGACTCATACTCGTGGCCTTAGAGGGCTTGAACATTATTTATATATACCATTCGTGCTTGAGCTATTGAAAGCTACCCCCCGGGATTCTTGGGGATGAATGAATTACGGGAAATCACTCGTTACCGATGCTGGATTTACTGCATATTTATCAAACAGACTGGTTTCCTTTCATCTAGTTTCTCCTAGTGCTTTCCTCACCACTCTCTTTAACGTTAGCCACTGTTTGAGTTTTCTTCAACTCTTCTCCGTTTGTTTCACAACTGCACAACCATGCCATATCCAACAATGGTATTACTTTCTTCCCATCATCTGTGGTCCTTCCTAGGTCCTTTCAACTTCTTTCTTCCGAGGTTCCCATATTACTAACCTTGGGTTTCTGGTATTTCTTTCCTTTACTTGGTTGTTCAGTTTAGTATAAACCCCCATCGTTGCGGATGTGGTAAGAAAATCAGGCTTCTTTCTCGGTAGTAGTTATATCAATTCATTATCGACACAATATTGCACAACCATGAATATATTGAGTTATGCTAGCTGCAAAAAAACGACACAACGACACTTTGCTGTTAATACCGGACTGATGATCGCTACACCTACGATCCTTCCAAGCTGCCATCCATCTCTATATCTCACGCCAGCTCACATAGGAGAGATGCTTCGGGAAATTGAATTTCAGGATGAGTCACTCAAAGGAATAAATTGCGGCTGGGCGGCGTTGGGGTTGTTTATAGCGTTTTATAATATATTTTGTGGCTGTGCCCTCTACCAAACCCTAACCCGCAACTAGTAGCAAAAAAACAACCCGTCTTGGGATTCCCCCAGGTTTTCTATATGCACCCGTCGCTCCCATGATACCCCCTCTTCTTTTACTCAGCTCGCTTTGCCTTTTGGTGAGTCCTCCACAAATTCTGCCGGTGTCCCATCCGGGCTATGCTGATTATGGAACAGGCTTAGATCAAGTGTAGTATCTGTTCTTTTCAGCTTAACCCCTGAAACGGCTTTCCGGAGCCTGTTCTTTGGTTACTCCTATTTTTGTTTCTTCCGGGGATATTGTCTCTGGCATGCTATGCTTGATCTCCACTGTGTCGCTGGTATTGCACTGTCTCCGGCTGATGCGAAGAGCTTCCTTTACCATTGTATCGACTTCTGGCCTTTGGGCGAGGTGTTGAGACAGTAATGCGTTATACTCCGGTTTTTTCCGAGGCGAAAGGATCGATTCTGTGTTCCGGGTCATCGGGACGGCCGGTATTGGTGTTGTAGCTCTGATGGATTCATTGCGGAAGTTGCCCACATGTAATAGTAACATTTCTAAATGAATTATAATGGATGTCCTTGTACTCGAGTATTTGTGCACGGGAGTAGCGTTGATCTGTTCCCTGAAACTGGCTGGCCCCTCCCTCCCGTAAGAGCAGATCGAGCACGACAAGACCTCATTTTTGCGAGAATAATCTACATAATTTCCATTACTATTCAGACTCCACCGATGATATGATTTACATAGAGTACCGTAGGGAACTGGGGAGGCCCCTAAGATATATGGTGACTCAGTGAGACAAGAACGGAGGGCGTCGTCGGTTTCTCAGGTTGAAACTATAGTTCCACTTTGCGCTTAAAGTCCCATCTCTCCTTGGTGATATTGGGTGGTGCCCGGTATTTGGGACTAACCCGTTTTATAGGGCGATGGTCATTGATTGTGAGGGGCCAGGTATGGTGGTGCCTCACCCGACGGACCTCCTGAGGTGTCGGAGGTATCTGGGTGGTGGTAGACGTGCATAGTACTTGGGTGCGGTAGAATCCGTGGACACGGGGAGTGTGTGGCAACAAGCTCAATAACAGAGCGCTCGAGCTCGGGAGGCCGATTAGAACGCCGAAATTTGCCAATTATCATCTATAAAGGGTTAGCGGATATACCCTTGCATGCTCATTCGGCCTACCGGTATAAACTAAGACTGCACCTACTAAACTATGTTTTTTTGAAGATGCTTCACTTTGATAAGAAAAAGGGAAGAGGGTGTTTCGTAGAGTTCGGGCCGGTCTCCGTTCCGTTTTCAATGATATACGCCGGCTTGGAGATTATGATAACTAGAGGACCGATCCTATGGGGGTCGCGCTCTCGAGTCTTGCCTTGGAAATATGTCGGTTTTCTATTAGGAGAAGATGAGAATGATACGCAAAGGCCGCCACGCCGGATGAGGCCAATCAGCCCTACTGTTACTCGGGTAATACCGGTAGTCCACAGAGGAAGTTGCTTAAAACCTTCCTCTCAAAATGACTCAAATCCGCACTCAGATGGCCGCCCACACAGCCCCAATTTTACAGGTAACGAACCGCTGCAAGATAGCTTAGATCTAGGCCTAGATACTAGCGACTCTATCTTTTGCAAGAAGTCAAAATTGAGAAAGCCCATTGAATGTACACCTCGAGATTTTGGGTAGGCGTGAAACGAGTTTCCAGATATCCGCAGGATGGGATACTAAATTTAGGTATTTAGTGGACTATGATCGGGTCACCGGTATGTAAGCAACAGTGGTTCGAACCAGTTTGATGCAGTAGCCACAGATTCTGTTTCGACTACGGTTCAGCTTTTAGGCGATTTGTGCCGTACTAGGACCATTCGATTGGGACAGGGTTTGTATTCCCGATGACTCTGGCCAACCGAGAAACGTAAAGTGGTCGTCTACCCAGGTACAAGCGCGGGTGAGTTACAGTACCGGCGCTGTGTGCTGCAGGAATCCTGTTCACGATTGTGGGGCTCTTGTGATCGTTTCGTGTACAGGTACTCGAGTAACTTATGAGGCTGATAAGAGCCCAAATACGGTAAGTTACCCGCACAAGAGCCTGGTCTGGATCCCAACTCACGCTGAAACATCATTTGTCCAAGTTTAGCGAGAGCTGAATACCGTAAGAGGTGGAATAGGTTTTTCATCTTCCTCTAACCCGAACGCCCCTCCTCCCCCCCCTTCAAGAGTACCGTATGCTTATACCTGTTAAGGAGCGGATACACTGCTACTGTTGAGAACAAAAATCGTCCTTCCAGTCACACTGGTAAGACTTCTCCCATTTGTCATACAATTCACGATATTAGCCCCCAAGTTTTGTTCTATATATAGTAAATACTTCCACCGCAGGAGAAACTAAGGGCCTGTTCGGCGGGAATGGAACCGTTCCGTTCCCCCATACAAATGACCGTTTCCTTCCGTTCTGAAGATGCCAAGACAACCATTTCCCAGCAAAAATCATCAACGAACGGAACGGTCGACCCGCCTACCGTTCCTGCCGAACAGGCCCTGATGCTTTCATCCAATCCCTCGAATTTTGCAATGCTGCCCACAACATAGGACGGGATATTGTGTAATGCCGATATCACCCCGATAAGTACCGTAAAAAAAAACTCGAATAATTGAACCCGGTTTCATGCCGTTGGGCTCTCCTCTCTCGGTAGGGTCGAGAAATTTTTGGCTTTCTTTCTGTCTCGGAA